CAGACACTCATTTAATGTTTTCTACCTTCACTTTCAGAGGGCCCGAATCTTAGTCATCAAGTACTCCAAACAGCATCAGATGTTGTGAGAAGTCTTCCTCTACTTTCTCTTGCTAATGAAAGCCAGATCACAGTCCTCAGTCCTGGGCTCAACTTGTCTGTCTGAGGTTACATCTTTCCTTCGAAAAACAGTCTTACCTCAGTCAGGTGCTGATCCTATTGGTAAGAATTTTCTACTACATTAATATCTTTTGAATCTAATTTATTTTTTGATAGACTATTCATTAATCAAATATATTTTCAAATATATTTCTCTCTCTATAGGGAGGCGGCTAGGCTAGCCTGTGAGTTGATGCTTCAACTTGCATGTCAAAGAGGTTCATCTCGCCACCTATTGGAGTGGGTGGATCTTGTCTTGACAGCAGCAGCGGATGAACTTCAAAACAAGAATTTGATAGAAAATGATTACATCAGTATACCAGAGAGTATGGTTAATGAAGCAATAGCAAATATGCGTTCAGCTGCTGTGAGTGGTGATGGAAGAGCGTGTCGACATGTTCCATTGTGCATAGCAGATGATGGTTCCAGAATAAGGCTTCATAAAGCTGCAATGTTAATCATGCAAGAAGTATGTTTACTCTTTAACAGGATTGTGCAAAAAAAGTAGTCATTGGAGTGTTGTTGTATCTCTAATTAATTATTGATTTCAGCTTGTCTATCTGTCAAGTCATTTAACAGACTCATGGGTTAGCACTGGGGAGAAGTCTATTGACAGTGGTACCTCAGCAAGCTCTGTTTCTGACAAAACTTGTGAAGTATTTGTATGGGGAAGTAATTCATCACATCAGTTAGCAGAAGGAAACCAAGAAAAAATTCTGCATCCAAAACTTGCAAAAATGTTCACAAATGTACAACAGGTAAATAGGACCTTTTCTTTTGAACAACTAAACTTTATTGTATTGTATTACTGAAATTCTTTTAATTTAATTTTTCTTATATTTTAGGTTGAAGCAGGCCAATATTGCACCTTTGTTATACACACCAATGGAACTGTGTCAGCCTGTGGCAAGGGGAGTTATGGGCGTCTAGGGCTTGGTGATTCTAATAATCAACCTGTACCAAGAAGAGTCAGTATGCCTGCAGCAGTAGTACGTCTCTCTTCTTCAAAGGGCAGTGATGGTCACTCTCTCTGTCTTACTGATGAGGGTCAGGTTTATAGTTGGGGTGATGGTAAGTTCTTTCCTTCTTCTTGGAGAGAGAATTATTCATCCCATTGTCAAATTTGTCTAATTGATGTTAATTACTGTACATTTGAAAACAAAGGTGATTATGGAAAACTTGGTCATGGGAATTGTACCACTCAAAAGCAACCCAAGCTCATCACAGGTGTTCTTTTGGGAAAGAGAGTTACACACATTCATGCAGGATACCGACATAGTGCTGCTGTAACTGAGGACGGTGAACTGTACACTTGGGGAGAAGGCGATTATGGCAGACTTGGTACTATTAATTTTAATTTTTTAAATATTGTCCATCAATTCACAAATTTTTATTCAGTTCATTTTTTTTTCTTTGCTAACACTCTTTTTATTATCTTCCCCAGGGCATGGAGATAATAATGGGAGGAATGTGCCAACCTTGGTGCGGGATATTTCAGGTGTTGGGCAAGTGGCCTGTGGGAGTGCCCATACTCTGGCCCTGTCTCAAGATGGGCGAACTGTCTGGTCATTTGGGTCTGGAGAAAATGGAAAATTGGGTCATGGAGACAATGCTCGTGTGTGTCGACCTAAAATCATTGATGCATTGCAAGGAGTCTGCATTACCAAAATTGCAGCAGGAGCTCAGTTTTCTGTTGCTCTCACATCAAGTGGACAGGTAATGTCATTTGTCCATACTCATGTAGGGGACTTTTGTCAATTAAAGTATCTTGCTATTAAAAATAATATTTTCCAATTTAATAAGTCAATTCTAATTTTTCTGCAGGTTTTGACGTGGGGCAGTGGCTCATGTGTAGGATGTGGCACACCAGATATGATGACACTGGTTCCACACAAAGTTGATGATTTGACAGGAAATCATGTGCTTGATATAGCTGCAGGAGATTCACACTGCCTTGCTCTTACTGATGATTGCCAGGTCAGTTTCAAACCAATCCACCACAAACAATTCTTACCTTCTTTTGAAATCAATCTATTTTCTGCAAGAAGTTTTTAAACAATGTTTATTCATCTATCTCTTTTATAAGGTATTTGCCTGGGGAAACAATTCTATGGGCCAGTGTCGTCAAGGCCATTCAACCACCCCGTTATCAAGGCCAAGGAGAGTTGTTGGACTGGAAGGTGTGTCAGTCCGTCAAATGTCTGCTGGAACGTCCCACAGTGTTGTCTGGACTGCATTGCCAACAGACAGGTAAGTTGCACATTTCCAATCTATCGCACTGTTGTATTTTATATCTCTATGTACTTATTCTCAGTGACTTTTTCTTACAATTGAAAAAGGCCTGTGTTGCCATGGCATCGTCCTTTCTGTGCTGATCTTCAAGAGTCTACATTCTCCACATTGAAAAATTTCCTGGAAAAGTTTGGAAAAGACTTCTTTGGAGACCAACCACCTCCCCCATTTCCATCCTCCCAGTAAGTCTGGTTCTGTTTGTCAGTGAAAAATGCCATAATATTAAGCCTATTTCATTGTAGTATCTAACATTTACATTCATATTTTTTGCTTGCAGAGACCATCACGACTTTGTGTACCTATGTCTGAAACTCTTGTGCTCCCATTTTTCTTTGGCTCTAAGTGGTGGTGTAACATCATCATTTCTTGGTCACCAAGCTGCACCATTGCGACACCTATTGTTTAGGTGAGAGCAGTCATATCCTTGCTGCAAAGAGTTGTTTTTTTAAGAAATTATTGTGTGTGTTCACAATTCACACATGGTTCACATTCCTCAGTTCAAATTTTTCTCTGCTTTCCTTTCTTTCCCTCTAGCCTGGTTGATTTTGCTACTCCGCCGCGTGTTGAGGCAATTGTGAATGACACCCTTCAAGTTGGAGCCCATATGCTTCTTCCTCCATTGTGGGCTAGACTAGGACTACTCCAAACCCTCTTACCTCAAGCATCTAGTCTCACTAAAGGCCAGGTATATACATTTTTCATAATATTAAAAAAATGTCTTGTCAAAAAAATCAATTCATAATTATTACCTTTTTTTACTGCCAGAAAATGCTTTTAGACATCATAGTGAAGAGTCTGGTAGAACATACCCATATTGCATGGTTATTAGGATATGGAATCACAGTCACAGAAACATCGGAAGACAGTTCTGAAAGCTCTATCGACCACAGTATTTTATCTGATGTTCTGAAATCTTCTCCTCATTCTTCACATGACCTGACTCATGCTCAAATCTTGATGAAAACTTTATTACATAATCTCAGTTTGAATTCTGTAAGTATAAATATGGACATGTTTTGGAAATAAAATAAATTGTTGTCATTGCTGAATCCAACATTGTTTCTTGTTTTGCCTTTGCAGATAGCTGCCATTGAATCTCTTGAAAGCCATCTAAAAAATAATTCTAGCAATCCTTGGGAACCCCCAACATGTGTACCATCTTTACATGGTTTACTGTCTGCTCTTCACACTCATTTGCTAGCTTTCACTACCAATCATGCGAATAGCTCACAGCCAAGTGTAAGTGATTGATTTTATTTGCCTGTTATAAAACTATCAAGTATTATTTCTCTTTATCAAATTTTAATTTTTTTGTGATTTCAGAGCTTTCCAAGTTTGGACCTTCTGATTAATCATGCATGTGCATTATTACCTACTGCTTATGGCATATTTGCCCTCAGTGCCAAGCTTGTCCAGAATTATCCTGAGTCTCTTTCATATCTTTACGGTATGGTTACAACTTTAGTTTAATTGTCACCTGATACCACTTGCCAGACTAATAAAACCGTCTTTATCCCTTTTCAGGTATCTTAATGGATTCTTTGGCAGGGTCACTGCTTTTCACATTTCTGCACGCGCTTCTCTTGCTTCCTGTCAGTGCAGTTCACTCCTTACTTCCCCATTTATTAGCACTGTTGTCACCAATTGACAAACTAAATAGGTTGTTGCCTCCACTTCCAGATGATGACACAGGTAAGCAATTATACCAAAGCAAATATTTAAAAAGTTAGGAGCAGGAAACACAACAGAAATCAATTAAACATGACTTAAATTAATGTAAGTACAATAATTGTAACCTGGTACTAATTTTTAATTTTCAGAAGCTGACACACCTACTCCCAATGATTTGGCTGAGCAGTCATGGTTATGGCTGGTCGATCTGGAGCGATGCTGTGGTCTGCTGGTTGGGCGAATTTTGGGTGGCATGTTGCTTGGTCCTGCTCCTTCCCTTGCTGAGAAAAATGTTGGGTATTGGCTCGAAAACACCATTTTCTCTCATGGTCTTGAGAAAGATTACAAACATGGCGACATCGGTAAGTGTTATTTTAAAAATTTCTTTGTAGGAATATACAAACAATTACCTTGAAGATGATCCATGTTTAACTATATTTAGATGTAGGTCGACTTGTCTCCTTTTCTCTTCAAAATACGAAACATCACAAAAGTAAGTTCTCTTGTAACTCCTATTATTATTTCATTTCTACTCAGGAATCAGTCTTGATACTTTCTTTTAATTTTTTAGCAAACAAGAATGAGACACTCTGTGTGATTCAACAAGCTGTGACAAATGCAGACCTTGATTCTGTTTTAAAGTTTGCTGTTGAGAATGACTTGATTGTTAGCCCATCTCACTCAACAGCAGATGTTGTGTCCAAATTCTATTTAGCGGCTCTCATCAAACATTGCGGTTTGCCTCATAACATGACTGTGTATGTGTGTTCTGTCTATTCCTCGTTTTTAAAATTTACATCTGTCTTTGACCTTCTTAATATTTATCTGATTTGTATTTAAAGGTCCAATCAACAAGTAGCTGAAATATATACTGCAGTCATAAATTTACGCAGGCATCTTCTTGATGCCCAAACCATCAAAGAATTTGACTTAAAACATTTAACAAATGATAACCGTACATTGAGTGAAAGGAAGAAGAAAGAATTGAAGAAGGAAAGAAGACGACTTGAAAGTGGTGAAACATCCCATGAGAGTGACTCATCTGACCATGGTTGTGTCTCTAGTCGGCATAGGTATAACAGAGATGGGGAAGAAGGTAGCTGTAGGGATGAAGACACTCATACTGAGGAGAGTGGTAAGTAAAATTTCTTAAACGTATCTGTTGTATTTTTTTTTTAGTCTGATGAGTGGCAAATTAATCTCTACTACCATGTCATGCTCAGATTTGGATGATTCACAAAGTGAAGGAGAATCAGAAGAAGCTAGTGAACGTTTTGAACGTATCTGTGCTGGGGTGATAGAGCGGTGTGCATTTCTCATTGGTGGTGTCAATGGTCCCCCAAAGAACTGGCTAGAGGGCGAAAGCTGTGATGAGGAAAATGATCTCTGTCAATCAGATAAAGAGCACAAATCTCAAAGGTACATATTGCATACATTTTTACTCTGTTCATTTGTTGATCATGGTGCATTTTATTTATTTTAAAATTTGCCTTGATTTATTTCTTTTATTTATTTATTTATTTTTATTTATTTATTTTTTTTTTGCTTTTATATATGCAGTGATGATTTGCAATTCAAAAGACTGCAACGTGTTTTAGCATCTTTAACAAATTATGTTTGTGGCAAGCCTGATACTGCTGACCCAGAATCACAATCTTTTATTGTAAAACCTGATAAAGGATGGATGACTCACCCACGACTGATTGTGGATGCTGTAAAGGCCCAAGAATCACGTGCTGAGGTAAGCAATCGCTTAATATTATCTTGAAAATGTTCAATAATTATTATGCACACAATCATTGAAATATTTAATATTTGCCTTCATTAGGTACGCCTGGATGCTTTGAGACAGTTCTTAATTCTTCTCTCAGTGGAAGAAAAATCAAAGGCTGCAAGCCAATCACCACTCATACACAAGGTGAAATAGAAAACCAGCTTTGTACTTCATCAAAATAATATATTTTGCTTATCAAAGTCGGTGATTTTTGACATGTTTGTTCTAGGTTCAGGAGCAAGTTTTGTGTGGACTGTTTGGGCTAATGGGACGGGTAGGATGTAAAACAGACAGTGCTTTACTCTACCATTATCTCAATGGAGTTCAAGTTACCTCTAAAGAAGTACAAGATAATCTATGTTCTGCCATGCATTGTCTCATATCTCTACTTATTGATCTTATTGCCACACATTATTCAAAGGACAAAGTTTCAAGCAGTGTAGAGCAATACTACCAAACTCTTTTAATCTTTTCATTAAGTATGCGGTATGAACCTAAAGACTTAACGCATGCAGTGCGCTCAGGTCTTCTCCAAGTATTAGGAGAAGTGTGTAGCACTTCTGTGGCTGCCAGCAATCTCTTGACTTGGGACCGTCCAAATATTACTCTTGCTCATGCGAGCACACAATTACTTCATGTGCTTGCCATGTCTTGCACGTGAGTATACACCTGGTTTTACACTTCTCTAATTGAATTTTATGTGTCTTTATGTGATCATCTCCTATTCCTACTGTGTCTCAAATTTTTTACTTTTTTTTCAGAATGTATGCATCTAAACTTGATCATGACATTGTTGCAAAAACTGTTGACTTGATCTATTTACAACTTGAGCAGTCTGTTCAATCAACCCTTCCAAATGGAATCACAAATCTTACTTCATCTGAGATCGCTGTATGTGAACGAACTCTCGGTGATCGTCTCCTCTTTGTTCGCCGTGTCGCATGTAGCAGAAGGATGCGCATTCTTTTAGCAAGCCACAAATGGACAGATCTGCTTCTACTCATTTTAAGTCAAAATGAAATTAAAGCTGATGGGTCACTTAAGATGAGCTTAGTTCAACCACGCATTCATTCTCTGCGCCCCAAACTGTTAGCCCTTCAACTTCTTGGCACAATTCTTCCAAGTTTACAATTATCTGTGTCAGAGGGAATCAATTACAAAAACATCACACAAACCAGTGAGCACCGAGAGCAGGTTGTTCAAGAATTATTCTGTCAATTAGCGGCTAATATGTGGAATGTACCTCAGGCAGTAGCAGAGAGAAATGCATACATGAAACACAAAGAACTATTGAAGCAATTAAAAAAATTAAGTGACCCAGGTAATTTAATTAAACATGATTTGAAATCCATTCCAAGCAAATTGAAAAATTGTTTTTACTATGATCAAATTTTACCTGTTTGCAGACGGGCCAGATGATGATAATTTCCAAGCTGATGGAAACATTCCACTATTAGATGCAGGGTTTGATCCGGATAAAACACTTTATTGCAGTGTTGAATCTCATACCGTTTTGGTGCATGGAGCTGGTGGACGTGGTTATGGTTTAGGAAACACATCAATCACTTCAGGTACCTATTCTTTGTTTTCTAATTTTGTTAAAAAAAATAAAAATACTTAAAGTGTAGGTAGAGTTCTTACAATAAGATGATTTGAAAGAAAAATTTTAATCTCTTCAGGTTGTTACCAATGGAAATTCCAAATTCAAAGAGAGAATAAGGGAAATGAGGGAACATGTGTCGGCGTAGCAAGAATGCCAATCAAGGACAACAATCACAGGACAACTTGTGACATGTGGCTGTATCGTGCTTACAGGTACAATGTTCTATACACCTTTGTAATTTTTATATCACAGTTAAATTCTACGCACTAAAATATTGATTTGTTTTAATTTTAGTGGAAATCTCTACCACAATGGAGAGCTGCCTCTTACATTACCAGGGTATACACAAGGTGATTGCATAACTGTTGTATTGGACATGGATGCAAGAACTATTAGCTTTGGAAAAAATGGGGAAGACCCTGTCTCAGCTTTCGAAGATGTAGAAGCGACAGAACTTTTTCCATGTGTTCTATTTTACAGCACAAACCCCGGCGAGAAGGTATGAATCTTTCTCTAGTATTCCTCCTTTGTGTGCAACGTAATTGAACTCGGTAATTGATTGACTTTTCTTCTTAGGTGGCAATTACGGACATGCAAGTATGTCGTTCGCCCCGGGACCTCTACCCTGGCGATCCTCAGTGTGCTCCGCAATCTGTTGTCATGGCTGAAGCATATGTTCAACTTTTGAGACAATTGCATGCCACCGATGGCTGGTGTAATCAGGTACATAATGATCAAAGCAAAGGGGTCATATGTTGTTTGGTGATCTCTATGTCTATGAATCATGTGGATTATTTCATTTTCTAGGTAAATGAGTGTGTTCTAAATAGACTGAACCAGACCAAAGAGCTTTTTCCTGAATCATCAGAAGCCTCACCTCAATCAACAACAAATTCATCAGGTAAATAATTAGTGTTGAAGTTTGTTGTCAAATGAAATTCTCAATAATGGAGATTAATTTTCTCATATAATTAAATTTAGCTGTCAATGAAGAACTGAGCAATGCAAAGGACTTGACCGAAAAGGAAAATAATGTCTCCATTGAGAAAAAAGATCAAGACAGTAAGACCCAGCAGTTATGCAAAGAGGTGAATTTTTGTGAGTTTATTAAGAAAAGAAAATCTATGTTTTACTTTATAAAATTAACTCCATTATTTCAGGTATGGCCTGCACTTGCTGTTATCGCTGGAGTTGATCGAGGTGTGCGCGTCGGCGGTCGCTGCATTTACAGGCCATTTGGTCGGAGCTGTATTGTCTTGGGTACTTTGAAGCCAGGGTTAGCCTCTGTGAAAGTCCAATGGGAAGATGGATGTGTTGGGTAAGTTCTTGACTGACAACTTTCAATTCATTTTTTGCCTACATATTACATTTAAGCTATTGTTTTCAGTGATGCTCAAATAAATGGATTGCATCCATTGGAGCCAGTTCCATTCAGTCTATCAAAATTACCTCTTGTCAGTGGAGATATACTGATTCAAATATCTAGAATAGCAGGTCTAACAGGAGAGGTAAGATTGCTTCTTACTTGATTTCTGTCACTCTCCTTTTTTTGCCTAAAACCTTCCTCACTTACAATATGGCCTTTTGTTTAGCTTGTTTTTCCTGAATGTGAAACAAATTCAGAAGAATTAAAAATTGAAGAAGATATTAAAATAGACAAACCTCAGCTAGATGTCAGTATATCTGATATACCTGGTCAAACAGCAACCCAGCCACTGAAGCCTACAGCTCGATCAGTTGAAACTTTAACCAATCAAATGGTTTTCAATATTATCGGTGAAGTGACTCGAAGAAATTCAGCTGAGTTGTTGGAAGGTCTATCATCTTCACAGCCAACATCTCAAGACACTTCTGTGTGCACTGCTCCTGCTGAAGTGAAGTACGTATGTCATGTTCTACTGCCAAGGTTGTATGGTATAAAATTCCCATTCTGTGTGTGAGGGTATCCATTTCAATCTCTTCATTTTGATTTCTAGGATTGGTGAACAGAAGTTCTTGAACTGTGAGGCAATTTCACTGCAGGTTGCATTTTTGCAGCTTGCAGCCCTCAAGTCATTAAGTGCATTTCTTAACAGTAGTCAATATTTAGAAATGCTTCTTGTCCCATCTTCAACGTCATCTTGTGCTGAGGTAACCATTTACCGAGTTTAGAATTATGTGAAGCATAGAAACAATTATGGAAACGGCAAAGTTAGAGATAAAATTGATTGAATTTTTTTATTTTTTTTCTAGGAAAACTTTTCTATGGGAGAGGACTGTTGCAAGATGAAAGAAGAATTAATTACGGAACTAAAGCTGAAAGAAGCTTTAAGGCACATTTTAAAGTAACTGTCCTTCTTGTTAATCAATCAATTTATCTGGAGTTTATTTTGGAAACAGGTGTACCCAACTACTAATTTCATTTACAGTGGTCTGGTGAACAAAAGTGTAGAAGTTTGTCATTTCCGTCAGCTGGCCAGTGTGAGAGACTTGGAACGCATTCAAGCTATTTTTCATCAGGCTCACATGCGCTCATGTGCCAATGAAACCTTTGCTATCACGGATGTGGAAACAAAAATCCGTTCAGTTGTGAGCTCAAGGGACTCCAGTAATATAACTCATTCCTCTAATGATCCAACCTCTGATGTAAGAGATGAAGTTAGAAATTTGCATATAGCTTCAGACTCTTGGGCATAAAAGAACTAATTCTGACTTTTCTTTTCTGTTTCTCAGGACTCGCTTTTAAGATCGCAAAGAGCAACACATAATTCAATCCAAGATCCTCCCCCCTCAACTCTAGCCTCTGGTTCTCTGGTAGCTCACTCTCCTTCTTCACCTCTCTCCCCTCCGTCTTCGTTCTTTCCGTCTTTTCTTCCAACACGTCCAGCTATGAACTCAGTGTTTACCCGTCACAATCAGTTAGCGTTCCGCCTAGCATCATTTAGACCTCCAAGTGCCGATACCTCGCAACCCAGCCGTCCGACGGCGACAATGGCCACAGCTATCGCTGGTAATAATACAGCAACTCCAATTGGTGGAACACCTTCAGTAGATACTACTTCCAGTAATGACAGCCCGCCACCACCACCAATTGTAGCCCCTCTTCTAGAGATGGGTTTCAGTCTTAAACATGTTCAGAGAGCAATACAGTCCACAGGTAAATGATATAGTCTATGGTGTTCATAAAATACATTTTTCTTTGCCTTGCACACTAATCACATTTAGAAGAAAGCTATATTTTTATTTTTTATTTTTTTAAACACAGGAAGTGTAGGAGACATGGCAGCTTTAACTCTAAATCAGCTTGCCACATGGATGATTGAACATCCTTGTACCGATACTCCCACAAGTGAAACGGATGAAGCGTCCAGCAGCTGTGAGGGAGAAGCCTCTGGACCATGGGTATCAGCAGTAGCACAGGCACCCCCTGTCTCTGCAGCTGAACTGCCCCCCTCTGTGGGCTCTTCATGCTTATATGTTTCTAGTGGAAGACCTCTTGCCAAGCGCTATCAAATTCCTGGTTTGCTGAACAGAACGGTATGTACCAGTGTTTGCCAACTAGTGCTACTGTGCAACTTATCAGTTTTAACCTTTGAGATTCTGAACTGATATGCAATTTTAACTTTTCTTTCTGTTTGCTGTGCAGGAATCATCTGGTAATGGAGAAAGTGAAGTGCCGCTTGGTCTTCGTCGGAGTGGAGCAATATGTAGAAGATTTCCATCTGACATCCGAAGCTATTTGACTGATCGAGGTTTGTGATGCAATTTTTCCAGTACACATGTTTTTTAATACCAAGAATTTAAAATTTTTTGAAACTAATTAACTGTCAAATTTTACTATTTTTCACTCCTTTTTATCTTTTTTTTAATTTAGCTGCCCAAGATCGTGAGTGCAGGGAGCAAGAACGAGAGAGAGAGAGGCAGCATGTACGCAATGAAGCTCAACCCCTGCTTGCTGCAGCTCAAGCACAGGGAAATTCTGATGTCAGCAGCACATCCACTCCTCAAGTACTATGACACTTGATTCTATTTAATGTCAAGAACATTATCTTTCCTAGTGTTTATCAGGGTTTTTTAAAATTTATTTTAGATACCTCCAAAATCTATATGTGGGCTATGTGGTCAACCATCTACACATCTTGCTGGTCACATGTTGTCTTCACATCCTGGCTGTGGACGTATTTGGGGATCAGCTTATTGTGGCAATATAACTGGTACAAGTACATGCTGCTCCTATGTTGTATCACACATTCATACCATACAGTCACTAAACATTCCAAAGTTCAAACTATATTTTGTAAAATGAATTCCGTTCATTGCATATTTTTCATACCTATTTATTTTTAACTATTATTTTTTCTTCCCAATAATTCAGGTTCAACTTACTTAATGTGTAATGAATGCAAGTTCATGTGGCAGCACCAAGTATCACGTGACTCCAATCCTTTCCTTTCAAACAGTATAGCTGTTAGTGGTGTGGCTCAAGTACTTGCTCCAGACTTGGTGGGGGCACCAGCGAACCCTCAGCAGAGTCAAGGTATCAAAAATCAATTCATGATTTTTTGACTATATTTTTTTAAAATCTGAATAAATAACCAAAAATCTTGCAATTTTGACAGAGATAGATGCGTTTTGGGCTGATAATGATGCTGACAGTACTCCACCTGGTCAAGATTTTGATCAACTCCTGCTATTATTAGGTCTAGGAGAAGATAGACCAACACCTGAACACGTATCTTGGCGAGAATCAGACCCTTTGGGCTCTAGTGCTGTACCCTCCGTTCTCCCACCAGGTCAGTATTTTCGGTATTTATTCTTTTCTTTTTTTTCTAAGCTTGTCAAAAGAGTTATATTTAATATGTGAGTCTTCAATAGGTAATGCCAAGACAAACACAGGGAAAACAGAGGCTAAACATAAGCCCCTGACAGATCAGGCAGCAGATCTCACATCTGTATTTGATAGAATAACAGCTCTTAGAAGGTCTGCTAGTGCTGCACAAATTTTCATTGCAAGGCACATTGTAATAAATACACTCTCCTTCCTTGCTGTGAGGTGAGTAATTGTTTTCTCTTTTAGCTGTAAGTTATGATAAACTTTGTTTCATTTTTTTAATGAAAGAGGTAATGTTAATTTTTTGTTTTCTATTTTCAGCAAAACAAACTGTGATCTATGCGCCAGTCTCTCTGCAATGGGTTTATCAGATGTTCGCAAAGCTGTAGCACTGATGGGCCTAACTGCGGCTGGCCGAGTTGAGCTTCAGGAATCCAATGATGTGTCAGCCACTTCACCCAGTGATGCCTGTGCACCTGATGTAGAACCATTGGATAATTGGACAGCAACTCTTGTTGGAGGTTTATCTACACCAAATCTGCTTCAGCTTGCAGCCTCTTCAGGTCATGACTCCATCTTTGAGGGAAATTACAGTGCGTTACCTCATCTCAGAAGTGCAATAGCAGCTCTTGCCCAGTCTGACAAAGCAGCCTCTAACTTGGTATTGCATGTGTGTACAAAGGTAATTTTTCAGTTCAACTTCAGAAATTCCTCAACTACTTTGGAAGAAAAAATTAATTTTGCTATTGAATCTATTTCTTACCTTTTAGGACCTTTTACGAGTTGCAACTGGGGCTACAAAGCTTTCATCTGGATCTGCTGTCACCCTTTATCTAGTTGCTCTGTTAGCTTCTAATGGAGGGACAGCTCTGAATTCTGAATCTAAGAGTAAACTACCTACTAATGTTTGATTGTTTATCCTTCACTCCAACATCCATCATTTAATTATTTTTTTAATTGGTTAATGTCTTGTCTGTTATAGGCACTGATGAGAAGTCTCCTTTTTCACCTGAGAGCCCCAACAGTGGGAACCATCTCATGTTACCGAATGCTTTAGCCGCATGCGTCTTGTCTACACGTTTGCCACCACCCACCCGCCAGTGGGCAAGCCAACAACTTGTATGTTCTCTAAAAACTTCATGATTGTATTTGAAACATTGTTGATGGCTCATTCACTAACTTATTTTTCAGGTTCTCTGTATTGTTGCTAAAAGTGCTAATCATCATCCACTGGATTCTGCCATTAATTTTGCTGATTTATCAGGAGTAATGCCTGTGTGCCCAACTGATCAATTGCAAGGCCATGACAATAGAGTGAGCAAAGTTGTGTGGCATGAAGCTCGCTCACAACTTGCATCTAGGTAAGTACCTTTAAACTGATATTTGCATTAATGAATGTCCATAATGACATCTTTATCATATCTTCTTGGCATTTTTTCAGTGCTTGGGATGGAACAATCAGGATCTGGAGTGCCCCTCCTATGAGTTCACTGGAGCACACTTTGGTCTACAGAAAAACTCAGAGTGTGTTTGGAAGTGAATTGCAGGGTGAGGAAATTGCACAACTTTGTTGGTCTCCGACTGGCAGATTTCTAGCTGCTTGTATGGGCAATACCCTCAACTTATGGATGTTACCTCCCGTACCAGGTCAGTAAATTCGTCTCAGAAAATTAATTAAGTGATAGAGACAGTCATATATATTAATAATATTTTCTTTTCCTTAGCTGATAATAGTGGAACTCCATGGACAGACAATTTCTTAGTTTTGTCAAATGCAGCTTGGATAACAGCACTTGCTTGGCCTGAAGAGTATTCTTTAAATCTTGGGCCAACTGACACCAAATGTGAACACCTCCTCATTGGTCGTATTGATGGTTCTGTTGCTCTCTTGGAATTAGATTCAGAAAAGCAAGAATGTATTGAACTTCCCAACTGCTCCCTACCGTTCGGTAAAGGAAATATTTTTGTACATGCCGTATTCAAATCTTCAATGGAGCCCATATTTTTCTTCCTTCACTTGTTTGTGTCTGTTTTATTTCCAGCTTATGTCACTCACATAACATGGCAACATGAAGACAAAGATTTTGCTATCGCTTTTAGTGACGGAACTGTGAAATTTGGAGGATACATGCCGAACCACCCGACAAGCAGTGTAATGGCCCACCAAGTCAGTATTTTCCAACCTCTGGCACAGTTAATTGTTTCAGTAGTAATTTCATGCTTTTAAAATGATTTAATGAGATGTTTCTTTTTCCAATCAGAGTGCCCTATCAGCAATGAAGTGGTCGCCAGATGGTATGCTTTTGGCCACGTGTGGTACAGATGGTGCTTGTCGAGTTTGGCACCAAGTTGATAAAACGTGGTGTTGCCTGCACTCCCTTCCTCAAGCAAATCAACCTGTTTCAATTGCATGGTCTCCAATCATCGGTTAGTTCATAGTGAAAGAAAAAAGTAATGACTTCCACATCCTTGTCCAAATAAATAAAAGAACTTTTAATTAACAGGCAAAGGCACAAATCCACTTTTGTTGTGTGTTGGAATGTCTTATGGAATAATTAATGTTTGGGTGTTGAATCCTCGCCTTGGAGAAGAAATTTATGATGGGCATGATACCCCTGAGAAGAGCAGTCCAAGGAAAGAAAAGCCTCTGAAACTTGTTTTCAGCCTTCAAGGACATCTTTATAGCCCAATTACTGCTCTAACTATTCACAAGGATGGTTTACTTTTAGCCTCAGGTAAATATCTCAAAGAGAAGAATTATACTAAAAATAAAAATAAATAAAATAATAATAACTTTTTGGTACAGGTTGTGGCAAAGGTCCAACAGGGGTAATAAACATTTGGTCTTTGCAAGATGGGAGCTTATTACAAACCTATACTGGAGCAGGTGGTGTTCAAAGTCTCTGCTGGACTGGGAAGTGTGGTCTTGCAGCATGTCTATTGCGATCAAAAGTATGTGGAATATTTCCTTTTCATTCACGCAATTATATATAGTATATGCGTTTGTGTGCTGTGATAAATATTATTTTCGTGCTTCCAGGATGTTGTTGTCTTGCAGTATTCCATGGAGCAATTTTTACCTGATCATGCTCTGGCCACAGGACGCAGTTCACTTCTAAAGCGAGGTCTTGGGGGCCTACACACAGCGCCATGTCTACGTGCTCTGTTGAGATTTTTGCCTCACATTTTATCCCAGCAGTACCTCTATGAACGGCCATTTGTGGCTTGTGGGGAACAATTGCTTCACAGTGATCACCTGAAATGTCTGATTGCTTTGGCCTTAGTGCTTCAACTAGATAAGGTTCTCTGCTACAAACCTGCTCCTCCTAATATAGGGGAACATGAAACTCTTGGTAAGAAACTAACTTCACTTGCATGTAATGTACCTATGTATTCTTTTCTTTCCTCAAGACAGAACTAATTATTTTGCCCCTATATTTTTATAGTGTCTGATTGGCAGTGGCTGCATGTTTTCAGTATGGCATGTAGCACTGCAGAGTCACTAGTAACTCGCGGTCAACTGCCTCTTGCTTTTGTCGCTGCAAACAAGGACATGCTGGATGGTATGTACAAAGTATGGTACATTGGTACAACCTTGGTAGATAAATATTTTTCTGAGCAGAAAATTTTAAACATATTCCTACTATGAATTTTTCTGTCTTGCAGATGAGGAAGGATCTAGAGCACTGGCCAACAGTGCTTGGAGCCTGAAAGCGGATTGTCAAATGATGACATGGTTTATTCAGCAACCAACAGATTGGCAAGTTGGTGGACACTGTGAAGCTTACATGTGGGGTAGTGGAAGGCAGGGGCAACTGGGAGACGCCAGTGCTGAAATTGGTTTGTATAGATGAGATTAATGATGTACTACTGTTTTACTTTAGTTTTTTTTTTTGTAATACAGGCAATTAATAACAATTTTCTATGGATGATATTCTAGGACGCAATACAACATCACCTATCCTAACTGAGTCATTTTCAGCGGCACAGCAAATAATTTGTGGGCAAAACTGCACTTTTGTCATTCAAGCTAATGGTACTGTGTTAGCTTGTGGAGAAGGGACTTATGGCCGACTTGGACAGGGCAACTCTGATGATCTTCATACCCTCAGTGTTATATCTTCTCTACAAGGTCCATATCCTTCTAGTACTTCATATTTTTTGTTCCTTGTACCGATAGATTGTAATTGTCTTTGTAATTATCTCTTATTCTTCAACAGGATACGTCATCACTGGCTTAGCTACATCCTGTGGCTCAGATGGACATAGTCTCGCTATCGCAGAGAGTGGTGAGGTGTTCTCATGGGGGGATGGTGACTATGGCAAATTGGGACATGGCAATAGTGACCGTCAGCGGCGTCCGAGGCAAATTGAAGCTCTTCAGGGAGAGGAGGTTGTACAGGTCAGCATTCTGTCTTTTTTGACTGTCAAAACTAAAATTTTTCTAAATAGTATTGATCATTTTACCTTTTTAATTTTAATCCAAATTTAAATACTCTTTTATAGGCTGCATGTGGCTACAAGCATAGTGCTGTTGTGACCATTGATGGCAAATTGTTCACATTTGGAAATGGTGATTATGGAAGACTTGGCCATGGTTCTACTGCTAACAAAAAACTCCCAGAACGAGTTGCAGCTCTTCAGGGTGTAATTGTGGGACAAGTTGCTTGTGGCTTGAATCACACTGTGTGTGTCTCACTAGATGGAATGGAAGTATGGGCGTTTGGTGATGGAGATTTTGGAAAGCTAGGTCTTGGAAATACTTGTACCAGAATGATACCAGTGGTAAATATTTTGAGGAGAATGCTTGGTTATTTTGTCTTTCTTCTTTTTATTGCCTTTGTTGTTTCGGAACTTGAATATTCGGTGCAAATACTAATAAGTGTTTCACCTTATTTACAGCGTGTAGAAAGAATGTGTGGGATAGGCATCAAAAGAGTGTGTTGTGGTAGCCACTTCACTGTATTCTTAACATATGATGGGCGTGTTTTTACTTGTGGAGTTGAATACCATATTGGCCAGCCCGAGACGAGAGCAAGGTGTCATACAAAACCTCAGGAGGTAAAGTGCTTCAACTTCGCCTTTAATTTTCTTATTGATTGAATATTTTAAATCTAATCTAATCTAATATTTAACAAAATTATCCAATTTTGTTAAAACAGGTTCCTGCCTTGAGAGAAGTTTTTGTTGAAGAAATAGCAGCAGGCTCAGAGCATGCTCTTGCCCTAACATCTACTGGAGATGTGTGGGGCTGGGGGAGTAACAATGATGGTCAGCTCGGAATGGGTCACACATTACGCCCACCTGGAAGGGAGCCTCAACTTATTAGAGCTTTGTGTGGCAAACGCATCAAACAGGTGTCGCATTTTCTTCCGACTTAGACAAAATATGCTCAATGAAATATTTTTTTATTTCTTATAATCCATGTAATCTTACAATACATTGCAGATTTCTACTGGTCGCACTCACAGTGCTGCATGGACATCACCACCTTTGTCTAGGCGGACACCCGGTCTGGCTAGCCCCCTTGCTTTGGGCACACCGTCAGTTATACCCTCTCACTATGGCCATTTGGAAAGTTTTCCTATTGCTGCCATACGAGCAAGACTAAGGGTGCTCCATAGGTTTTCAGACACTCTGTATGCGTGCTGGCGCATGCTGCCTCTGTGTTCAAAGGTACTAATTCATTACTACATTTATACTTGTCCTCTTTCTTAAAAAGAAGAAAAAATAATCATGGGCTGATGTGTATTTCCTAGGTACGATGGTGGCAGGGATCACCCCTACGTTACCTCTGTGCCCCTGAACTTCGCCCCCTCCTGGCTCCTAGGGTGTACACCTTACCCTTAGTGAGATGCATTGGTAGAACAATGGTACAGGGTAGAAATTATGGACCCCAAGTTACAGTGAGAAGGCTGGCTGTGAGAACTCGGAGGCCCACTCCAATATTTACTCAATTGGCTGAACAAGTTGTGAAAATGCGCCCCTCGGAACTTCGCTTACCGTCCCGCGCGTGGAAAGTAAGACAGAAACTGAGAGCAGTTTGTTGCTAATTATTCAGAGCAAAAACTTCTTACATTTTAATTTTTAGGTGAAATTAGTTGGAGAGGGTGCTGATGATGCTGGAGGAGTGTTTGATGACACAGTTACGGAAATGTGTGTTGAGCTCACATCAGGTCGAGTTCCTCTTTTAGTTCAAACACCCAACTCAGTGAATGATGTCGGATTCAATAGAGACCGATTTTTATTGAACCCCCAACTGACATCCATGCAATATCGAGCTGCTTTCAAGTTTCTTGGTTGGTCTAATGGCGTAACAAGAGATTTTTTGACTTTTGCTCTGCATTTTACAAATCTATAATACATGTTTAATATTTTGTAGGTATCCTTCTTGGAGTTGCTGTCAGAACCAAAAAGCCTTTAGCTATTCCTCTTGCTCCTTTGGTCTGGAAGCTGCTTGTAAATGAGCCAGTAACAATGGATGATTTGGAAGAAACTGATCTCCTTTATGCTCAATGTTTACGTGGTATCAGAGATATTCATTTGAATGATGTTAACCAGCAAAACTTTCATGAGGTCAGTTACTTTATTAGAATTTTGTTATTGTTACTGTTTAATTCTTCTAGATATATATATTTTACTTTTCCTTTCACAGGTTATTCCATTGGAGTGTTTTGAAGGTACTTCATGCACAGGACGCATGATGCCTATTGTACCAGGGGGTCGAAGTGTTCCACTTAATTTTCAAAATCGTGTCAGATATGTCGAACAAGCTGTGTACTTCAGACTTCATGAAATGGATTTACAGGTACTATAAGTATTCCATTTGAAAATAAGACAGTTCATGTGTTTGTTTTATTTTTATAGTTTTGTATCTTTTTTTTCTCACTTTAATTGCATTGGCAGATTGAAGCTGTCCGTGAAGGTATGGCATGGATTATACCAGTACCACTACTTTCTCTTGTTACATCGCAATACTTGGAGCAATTAGTTTGTGGTATGCCTTACATTCCCGTGCCACTTCTCAAAAAAGTTGTTCGGTGAGTAACCATCTATGAACAATACAGCATAGATAAAATATTTATGACATAACTAAATATGACTTAAAATCTGTTGTAGATATCGAGAACTTGATGAAAGCCACACTCTTGTGCAATGGCTGTGGAACATCCTAGAAAGCTTTTCCGACGATGAACGTGTTCTGTTTATGAGATTTGTATCAGGGAGGTCTCGTCTTCCTGCCAACTTATCTGATCTTTCTCAACAGTTCCAGGTAAAAAAGGATAGGTGTACTATAATCTAAGAAAATTCCTAAAGCCAGAAACCTAGTCATTACAAATGGTTTTACTTTTTCACATACCCTAGGTGATGCGAGTGGACCGTGCACCTGACGGTTTGCCAACTGCTCAGACCTGCTTCTTCCAACTTCGTCTTCCTCCTTACTCAAGCCAAGAAGTAATGGCTGAACGCTTGCGGTATGCTATCAACAACTGCCATTCAATCGATATGGATAACTACATGCTAGCAAGAAATGCTGATGTTGGACATCTTTCTGGTGATGAGTACTGAAGGTAACAATTTTGCTTGTGACTTCCATACTGTACTTTGTTACATACTCAACACCTATATTTTAATGTATGACCTTGGGTCCAATTGCAGAATTAGTGGGCCATTTAGTATTTAGGATACAGGGTATCAAAAATTTGTACCAGTGTTCTAGAAAATTGTGATCATTGTTATTCCTTTTTTTAAATATAATTGGTTAGATGTTACTGGCAACCAGTAAATAATACTAACAAAGTGACAAAGTTTAACTTATGAAATGTTCCTGTTTTGTTTTGATTAATTTTATTTTGTATTAGGCTACTCAACAAATATTTTGTGATGTATTTCTTGTGTCCTTGATTCTCACAAGGTCCTTGTCAAGTAATGATACTTGTCATCGTGTTATGTTGGTGCATTGAGCATGTATTATGTACTCTGCAAACAGGTTGTAAAGATTGGAATTAAAAGTCTGATGTTTTCCATGTCAACTATCACTGCTTAATTTTCTACACACATTCTTTTAAAATTAAATTGGAAATTCTTTATTTTGCTATTATGGTTGAATCACGAGTTATTAAAATTTTTAAACTATCTAATCACAGATCCATGTCCAGCAAGTCCTTTCGGGGGATGAGATGCAGTCGTGCAGGTTCCCCAGACCTGGGTCGATAGGCGGTGATGGGTGTCGTCGACAGATAGGGGTACTCCTTGTGGTAGTCACGGGGCAGGGCCGGCAGGGCCGGCAGCGCCTGTCCGGGAGGGGGTGGCGGCGAGTAGGACGGCGGCCCCCCGTCCTCGTCCGCGTCCAGGTCTTCGAACGACTTGCGGAGCAGCGTGCCGTCGCCGTCCGCCACGCTGTCGTAGGGGGACGTGGCCTCGCCGGGGGAGTCCATGGAGCTGAGGGCGGCTAGGACGGCCTTGCGGTGCGGCGTGCCCTTGAGGCTGATCGTCGTCCTCCCCTCGCCGAGGACGTCCTGTGCGAGGACAAACGACGTGAGCGGGCATGTCCAACACGCGGCCCGCGGGGACACAGCCGAACACGCGGCTCACGAACCTGAAAGACGTCCTTGACGTGGAACCTGTCCGCGACCTTGGCGACGCGCTCGCTGCCGCCTCTCCAGCGATCGCTGTCGTCGTCCGGCTGCCCCCGCCGCCGGCTGGCCGTGTCGGTGTCCGAGGCCGGGGCGGAGTGCACCTCCAGGGGCAGCGCTTCATAGGCGCTCACAAGGCGCGCCCGCGGCCTCGTCGGCGTCACGGCCGCGGACTCTAAAGCGCTCCGGCACACAAGTGGCTTGGCGCCCTGATGATGTAAAAACGTTCGATATGTTATTATATGTTTAATAAAAAAACAATAAGACACTGAACTGTGGGGAGGGGATATTATCCAATTTTGTTAAAACAGGTTCCTGCCTTAGGATCCTCCAGTTTCTTGAAGTAGGTTTTAGCGCGCTCGAAACGTTCCCTCCGCTCCAAGAGCGTGGAACTTGCTCCGACGGCACAGTCGATCGCACCAATGTCCTGCTCAAGCTCGACTGTCGGCAAGGCTACATTTAAAGAAGATAAACACCGGTCTCAAACGAGCCCTTTTAAGAGAAGCATTTTTTGAACTTGCGCCCCCAACTTCCTTTACCTCGGTTCGAAGTTTTGCTGGTTCGCATCGCGGTGCTGCCTGTGTCAATATGTCGGCTGCCGGGACCTCCCCCTGGCGCGGAAGTTCCACTCGCCCTAACCGAGGCCGAGAACGCCGTGGCCGTGGTCGAGGTTGCGACAGGCGGTGGTGGCGGCGGCGCGCGCTTCTTTGGGACATTGAAAGCGCTCTGCTGTCGCTTTTGCGCCTGGTGCACCTGCTGAGTCCGCCTCTCCAGGGCCTCGATCTCCCTCCTAATCCTGGTGACAGGGTCCACGACCTCCGCGGCACAACATGGCGTTCTCGCCGATACCTTCTGCTGCTGCGCCGTGCTCTCGAAGAACCGCCTGCCGGACTTGACGATGCCGGCCGCCGGGAGCGCCTCCGCCTCGCACGCCCCGGTGCGCGTCCGCGCCTTGCGTAGCACCTGGAGTCTGCTGCTGGAGCCTGCCGTGAAGTCTTCGGGTGGGGACGGGGCCAGGGCGACCCTGTGCTTCCTTGGGGTGGGCTTGGGTGGGGGGGTCGGAGGGCCTTGCCTCTCCGGCTCAGCCTGCCGCGGTGGAGTCGACGTCAGCACCACCGTGTGCACCGCGGACGAGGCCGCTGGTGCGGGCGCGGGTCTGTCGGAGGTTATGCCCCTCCCCTTGGCGGGGGCGGCGTGGGGAGCGTGGGCGACGCCTTCCCCCTCCGTGTTGCGCTGGAGCTGCTTGTCCCAGAAGAGCTTCCGGTGCGTGACGCGCATGCTGAGCGGGAAGCCCGCCTCGGAGATGAGCGAGTCTAGGTCACCGAGGTCGCTTTCCGCCGGGGCTGATAGGGAGAGCTGCTTGGTCTCGCTGACGTCCTCCAGCGAGCGGTACAGCGGGTGCTTCCGGTCGACGGGCTCGGCGTCCCCCTGACTCGTCGGGGAGGGCCTTGGCTCTGGCTCCGGTCCTGGCCCAGGTTCTGGCTCCGGCCCCGGACCCGGCCCTGCAATGCTGGGGGAGGACGGGGAAAGGTGTTTTCGCCGGGGTGACCTGACTGGGGGCTTCGGGGGCACGGGCGGCCTGTAGGTGGAGGAGCCCGAGTCTGCGGAGGTGGTGGTCGGGCCCGGCCTTGGAGACAGCGGTGGAGTGGCGATCATGCGGATGGTGGTGTCCGAGCCCGACTGCGTGACAATGAGGATATCGTCGTCGGGCTCAATGGTGGGCACGGCGGTGTACAGGGAGTCGCAGGGCCCGGGGAGTCCCGTCGTGGCTGGTGAGAGGTGGTGCTGGCCCTGGCCAGCGATGAGGAGGAGCTTGTCGCACAGCTCCAACAGGCTCTCCTCCTCTTCCTTCCTCCGCTCTCTATTTTGCGCCTTGCCCTGCTGGCCGAGTTGGCCCACCTCAATGCCCTCGATAGTGTTCTCCAGGGCATCGGCGATGTCGGCGAGGTGACCAACCGCGTCCTCGCTGACTCCCTCCCCTAGGCGCACCTGGAGCGCACCCATGGCCCCGAACTCAGCCACACTGTTCTCGTCGGGGCTCCCCTCGTCCTCCTTCTCCGTGCGCCCGGCCGCGACTGCAGCCTCTGCCACGACCACCGGGGTGTTCTCCTGAATGGGGGGTTTTGCCAAGTCCTCCACCAACGACTGCAGCGCTTCAGTTAGTGCTTTGCTGCCGTCAACCTGGTCACAGTTACCCAGAAAGCTGGGCTCGTCGACCGAGTCCTGACTCTCCTCCAAATACTTAAAGAACTTCGTCGCCGGGTAGGAGCGGGCGTGGGGCTGCTTGCTAATGGTGGGCTCGCGCACCAGTGAGTTGAACTCGGCCTCTACGGGCTCCACGGGCTGGCACTGGGTCTTCATCAGCGATTCGAACTGGCGCTCGATCTCCTTCTCACTGTCCGGGGAGAGCAGTGGCAGTGAGTCCAGCAGGAGGGCAGCCGAGTCCTCGGCGCTGGCCTGCTCGGCCGGCTCCGGATTGGTTTCTGCTGTCACATTGTCAACGGCCACCGTCGAACCATTTTCGCGAATACTTTCAATTTCCTGGCTTTCAGAAAGCGATTTCCCGTCACGTTGTTCTGGCCCGATATCGCCCCCCGATGTCTTGGCGGCGTTGTTTGCGGCCCGCTGCTTCTCAATATTCATGACGAGGGCCGTGGACCTGGGCAGGGGGAGGGGCAGCGCTGGGTGTTCGGCGAAAGGCTCGGCGGGGGACTCGGCGAGGGGCTTGGTGATGGGTTCTTCGTTGGACTCGGCGAGAGGTTCGGTGTGGTACTCGGCGTTCGATTCTGGAAGTGACTCGTCGTAGGACTTGCTAATGGGTTCTTCGTTGGACTCGGCCAGAGGTTCGGTGTGGTACTCGGCGTTCGGTTCTGGGAGGGACTCGTCGTAGGACTTGCTAATGGGTTCTTCGTTGGACTCGGCCGGAGGTTCGGTGTGGTACCCGGCGTTCGATTCTGGGAGGGACTCGTCGTGGGGCTTGGTGATTGGTTCTTCGTTGAACTCGATGAGCGGCTCGGCGTGGGATTCGGTGGCGGGTTTGGAGTGGGACTCGGGCAGGGATTCGTCGAGGGGCTCATTGTGAGACTCGCTGCAAGACTCTGCGTGGGACTGGCTGAGGGGCGCCCCCTGGCACCCTTGCGCCAACTTTACTGACACACTTGATTTGTTTCCTGCATGCGACTCCACCGAATCCGTCGTCTGCGTCTGGAGTTCGACACGAGGGTCAGGTTTTCTCGTCTCAGGATGTGGAAGGGGCTCTACTTGGCGCGTCGTCAGGCGTGAGGGTCTGGGGTGGCTTTCGACCTGCGGGCCCTCCTTCTCCCCGGAGCTGGCCTCGATCGCCGCAACCATGTCCCGCACCTTGGACCTCCTGCGCGGCTGTACGACTGGGCACGGAGCCTCTCGTGTTTCTTGGGGCTCAGCAATCGAATCAGCCGGCGCCTCACTGACCTTGCTCTCTTCTTGATTGTACGAAACCACTACCTCCTCGGCAGTCTTTGTCACCTCTAGAGCCACATCTTGGACGTGGGGCGGCCGTTGCTCAGATGGTAGGGAAGCGACCACTCCTGTAGAAATTTCATCTTTCGCTGCTTTCACCTGCTCGTCCGTAAAGCCAAGGACGATTTTTTGTGATTTTGGCGAGCTTCCTGTCAGATGGACAGTTGCTATTTCAGGAGAGGCACTTATCGGCGTTGACTTAACCGATGTGGCCTTACTTGTGGACGGGGTGTCATTTTCACCGGGTTCTCCCTCTTGTGCTGTTGCTTCTAGAAGAGGTGAGGCTTCCTGTAGCTCTGCGCGCTCCTCTGCGGGCTCCGATTGGACTGGCTCTTCTTCTAGCTCGACGTTCGGGCTAGAATAATTCTCCTCTGGGCCTCTTACTCCTGAAGGATCAGCTTCAGGGACATTTTGCTCCTTTGGGGCTGTAGGTTCTGTATGCTCAATCTGTAGGCTAATGACTCCTATTGGGTCAATGTTTTCCTGTACTGATCCGATTTGTGGGCTGGTCGTTTCTTTTAAGCAGGCCGTCCCTTCTAAATTTTCCACGTCGATGCCCGTGGTTTTCTCTGAGGCGAAGTGATTTTCTGTGGGTTCCTTTAGGCCGATGTTTACCTCTGGGGCTACCACATCTTCATCCTGGATATTCAAATCAGGGGTTCCCTGTTGGAGTGTCTCGTTTGCTGAATGTGCCTCTACGTCAGCGGATTGGTCGACGCCTTCACACGACCCTTTTTCATTAACTACCTGTGCCCTTTGCACTGACTTTTCTGTAAGCTCCGTATTGTTGCTCATCATGTCCGACTCCTCAGTTGTAGCCTCTCCACGTGGGACAGTGTCCTCCATATCCTTCTCCTCCCCACGGACGTTGTTTTCCACCCGGGTCTCCACAAGGGCTGTAAGTTGGTGTTTCTCAATCTCTTCGTTATCCGTTGCTGCTACCTGATCTTCAGTGGCGGACCCCGCAGCATTCTGCTGTGCGGTGGCCTCAGCACTTTGGTCTGATCTATCGACGGAGATGGATTGCTCAGGCTGCACATCAGCCGGCTTCTTGGGACGCTCAGCTGCCTGGTCCGTCACCTCCAACGACGTGGTGTCGGCCCCGACGGCTTCCTTGCTCTGCTCGGACACCCTCTGCTCCGCCTCCTCGGCGGGGGCTTCAGCACACGAGTTCGTGACCTCCATCGAGGTAGTGTCCGAGATAACCCTTTGCTCCGACAGATACCCACTTTTCTCTCCAGCCTGCTCAGCAGTCTGCCCAGTTACTTTCGCACTGGTGTTGGGCGAGATGTCCAGTACCTCCGACCCCTCCTCACCCTCTCCTCCGATCTGTTTTGGATCTTGTACCGCGACCTCCACTGAGGTGGTGTCCGATATGACGCTTTGCACCCTCACGCCCTCACCATCTCCTTCGGCCTGTTCAGCACCCTGCCCCACGACCGATATGATTCTTTGCTCCGTCACCCCTTCACCCTCTCTTCTGATCTCCTCAGCACCCTGTCCCACGACATCCACTGGGGTAGTGACCGATATGATGCTTTGCTCCGTCACCCCTTCACCCTCTCTTCTGATCTCATCATCAGCCTGTCCAGCTACCTCCACTGGGGTTGTGTCCGATATGACGCTTTGCACCCTCACGCCCTCACCATCTCCTTCGGCCTGTTCAGCACCCTGCCCCACAGCCTCCATTGGGGTCGTGACCGATATGATGCTTTGCTCCGACACCCCTTCACCCTCTGTTCTGATCTCCTCAGCACTCTGTCCCACGACCTCCACTGAGGTGGTGTCAGAAATTACGAGTTGCCCTGCCAACTTCTCATTCTCTCTTCCGTTTTGCTCAGCACTCTGTCCTACGATCTCCACTGATGCGGTGTCCGAGATGAAAGGTTGCACTATTACTCCCTCATCCCTTCCTCCGACTTGCCCAGCAACCTGTGTCGCAAACTCAACCGAAGCGGTGCCCGATATGACGCTTTGCACCGACCTCGCCTCACCACATTCGATTTGTTTAGAATCCTGTGCTACGACCTCCTTTGGGGTCGTGTCCGGTATGACGCTTTGCACTTCCACCTCCTCCCCCTCTACTCCAGTCTCCTCAGCATCCTGTCCCACGACCTCTACTGAGACGGTCTCCGAGCCTACGGATTGAACTGCCATCTCTCCACTCTCCCTTCTGAGCAGCTGCCCCACAACCTCCACTGGTACGGCGGGCGACATGATGATGGTGCCTTGCAGCGTCCTCTCCACACTTTCCTCTCCATCCTGCTTATCACTTTCTCCCGAGACCTCCTGTGCGATGGTGTCCTTCATGACGGCCACGTCGCGCTGACCCGCGTCCTCCTCCCCCTCCTCCCTTATGATGGACATCCAGCTGCACAGGGGCGGGCGGGGTGACTCTGGCCTCGGCGGCGGCCTGACTTCCGGCTGTGGCGCCATGAGTCCCATCAGGTCCTCGATGTCGGCGGCCGCGCCCTCCGCCCAAATGTCCGCGCCGGCGCCCGAGTCCTGCAGCCTGAAGGTGAGCCCGTCCAGCTCACAGAGCACGTCGGCCTGGCTGCCTGGCGGGTGTCCGTTCCTCGCCTTCTGGATGCTCATGTCGAGCTGGCGCAGCGCCTCGTCCAGACTCGGGGCCGCGATCACGGGCTCGAAGTCCACCACCGACCCAAGCTCGGGCTCCCCGAACGCCGTGTTCGACGGCCACGACTTGAACTGGTCGTCGGCCTCCGTCTCGACACCTTGTGCGTCAGGGTCCTGGGCCGTCGGTACAGTCACGTCAGGCATTGGCCGTGCTCTTGGACTACTCTGCGGACTGCTGAGGGGGTTCTCCTTCGCTTTTGTAGACACCTCTGCGCTCTCCGGCGCTATCAGCGCCACCTCACCTCCCGCTCGCGTGTCGCCAACGTTTCCTGCTTTCACGTTTCCAAGAGGTGGTTCGACACTTGCAGTGTTCACGGGAGGCACATAATTTGTCCCAACACTCAAAACGTGAACACTACCTTCGTCGAGGGATTCAGCTTGTGATTCTACTTTCGGCCCCGCAACGCCTGCTTCGCTATTGCAGCCAGCGTGTGAAATCGTAATGTTCATTGAAGTTGCTTGCACTTCGGTGTGCTCCTTCACAACGTTTTCTAAGGTGTCACTGGCAATTTTCGTTGTAGATGTTCCTTGTTCAGGAGCAGCATCAGGTTTTGACATGGTTGGAACGTGTTCAATCATTTCCACTTCAGGTGGTCGGCTGTTACTCAGTGATTCAGTGGCGGATCCAGGAGACAAAGCAGAAACGCTATTTTCGGAACTTCTAGGAGTCTTGTCGAGTCGTTCACAGTCCGCCGGCGTCACGGTAGCCTCTTCCTGCATGCGGCTCGTGGTATCGGGCGGCCAGGGAATATCGGGTCCCTCGCAATCTGACATGTCCCCGTCGATGACACCCGTGATGTCGGCCACCTCCTTGTCGGCCGCCTGTTCTTCGGCCGCCTGCTCGTCGCCGTACTGCGCGTCGCCCGGTTGTGCGACTGCCTCGTCGTGTGGGTGCAGCGCCGCGTCGTTGAGGAGCCTCGTCACCTCGGGCACCAGGCCGAACACCAGGGTCCTGGTCGCGGTCACGACGACCTCCTCAACGCTCAGGCTGCTCCCGGGTCGCGACGAGTCCAAGTAGCAGGCCGACAGCGCCTCGACATGCGTGCCGCTGTCGTCGTCCATGCTCGCGTCCGTGTCGGCCACACTGGGAGCGAGGTCGGCCGCCTCCGTCAGCCCGTCAAGGTCGTCGTCGTCGTCCTCCGGGTGGACAATCTTGAGGGGCGGTGGCCTGCGCAGGTGCGCCCCGCCGCTCACGATGTCGTCCGCCGTGCGCATGATGTGCAAGCTGCGGGTCTTGGGGAAGTGCTGAAGGATGAGCGCGCAGGTGCGGAGGATGCGCAGGCAGCGCGACTCGCTGGTCCCGTTGGCCTGGGCTGGCTGCGGCGGCTTGGAGTCCTCCTCGTCCTGCTCCGAGCTGGAGTCCTCGGAGGCCGTGGGCGGTGGACGCGCCCGGTGCCGCGCCGCCGCCACAGCGGGTCGCTGGCCCCGCGGCAGGACCCTCTTGGAGACGCGGCCCTTGGGCGTCGCCGCGCCGCCCGCCACCGCGGTCGCGTGGTAGTGGACGTACACGCGTGGGGGCGTCGTGGAGTGCGTCACGATGGCGTCCGGCAGCCTCTCTAGCCGCCCGTCCTCCGTCAGGAGCATCTTCTCCGTCACGAAATCCACGATGCGGTACACCACCTTGACGCGACGGCGGCGGGGTGAGCGGTGAGGCCTCCGCGGGGAGCTCGCCGCCTTCAGTCCCCCCGGAACATCCTCATCCCGCTCGCCCTCCTCGACCGCAGCCGGAGGTGGCGTGTCCTGTTCGGCCACCTGAAAACGAACAGCAGTGAAAAGGAGCACTCATATGTGGTATCCAGTTGAGAGAAAAACAGGTTTCGGGCGCGCTGCGCTCAGGTCCCGATCGTTCGGTGCCCAGCTCTTGGTAGGGAAGCACGGGCGCGTGACTCGACTCTCTTAACTGGATATAACTATAGCACCATGGCACTCAGACTAGTGGTCCTCACCAGCACGTGGAAAGGGGAGCCGACAACGGCGCTGCCTCCCAGGCTGACGTGCACGTGATGCGGCCCCGCGAGCCGCGGCGTGTATCTGACCTCCACCTTGTTGATGCTGACGAGGAAGACGACCAGGATGAAGGTGTCGCTGGCGGCCTGGTGATCTGCGAGCGCCGGAGGATTCCCCGAGCAGCCGTGCGACCCGGCGGGCCCAAACACCTCCACCCGCAGGTCGGCCACGGCGATGGTCCTGGCGTGAGAAGCGTAGCAATAGCACGAACGAACTCTCCGTGCTCCACCCATGGACGACACGTGTACCCACCTGACGTACACGTAGAAGATGGCGGGCCGGCCGCGGGTGGCCATGAAGAGGCCCACACCCCTCGCCACGCAGCGAGTGGCGTGGGCCGCGAGCCTGCGCGCCGCCGGCCCCACCTGGTCGCCCGACACAGACCCGGACACGGAGGCCGACGAGTCGGTGGAGCCGCTGGTCGTGGAGCTCTCCTCGGCGCCCTGGAGCGCGGGGTCGCGCTGCCGGCGCTCCCGGCGCGTGACGGCCCGGCGCACGGCGCACAGGTAGCGCACCAGGCGCCGCTCCATGCGCGTCGTCAGCGTGCCCGCCTCCAGCTCCTCGTCCGAGATGCCCTGCGGCGGAAGCAGAGAGCAAAAAAGTAAGAGCAGAAAGGGACGGGGGAGGGAAAACTGCCTCCACGGGCACGGCCTCCCGCTTTGGTCGAGCAGAACGCTGTACACAAGTAAATTTATACGTTTGCAAATAACTGAGCCACCCCAAGATTGCGAGGCGTAGCGCGTCCTTGGGAGGAGAGGCGGCCCCAGCCGGAGCCAGCACCGCGCCGCGCGCCCCGGGCCGGACTGTGAGCCCAAAGCGCGGCGGCGCTGTGCGCGCCTCCTATAAAGCAAAGAAACGAATTGGTTTGCTTGAGATTATCAGGGGAGGCGGCGGGAGGAGCAGGAGCTGGATGGGAGGATAGGGCGGAGGGGGCCGACGTGCCCTGGCCAGGGTGGCCGGGGCCCCGGGGGACAACCCGACCCCCGCCCACCCGCTCCGCCGAGCTCCTTGTACCGCCCTCCTCCCCGGGACCCCTTTGGCCCACCTCGTATAATTCCGATGCTGCTGCAGGGTTTTCTGCAGTCGCCGGGCTGCGTCCGAAGGCCCCATTCCCTCTCCCTCCCCCGCGCCCGAGTGCCGTGTGGCGGCTGCAGGAGCGAGGAGGGCGGGGGTTGTTTTGGACGCGGCCGGCCCCGCCCCGAAGCTCTGCGGTGTGGCACGATGCGCTGCGGCGAGATCGCGAGGCCCCGCAGGTCGGGGCGTGGCGTGGCGTGGCGGTGTGCTTCCTGGGTATCGGGGGAGTGCAAAAGAAGGGCGCCGCTGCGCCCTGCGGCCCTAACCACTCATTGAGCCTGATTCCTGGGACGAAACTGCTCCGGCAGCCCCAGCATCCTCACGCTACTGGAGCTGATGAAGTGCGGCGCCCGAGCACGCGAGGCCAGACCTGTATCGGCTATCGGCTGCGGGGAGAGCTATACCTTTCGCTGTCGGGGGAAAATCATTTTGGACTCGGGTTTCACTCACCGCAGGGACGCCGAGGTGCGTCTTGACCATCCTGAAGCCGTGCTTGAGCGCGGCCACGTGGCCGTTGGGGTGGCGGGGGTGCGGGCAGCGCGCGCTGGTGGTCCGCTGCACCAGGACGCAGAGGAGGCCGCCGTCCGACCACACGGCGCCCACGGCGTCGCGGCCCCGCGGCGCGCGCGTCAGCAGCACGGCGCCCAGCCGCTCGTGCAGCCACACGGACAGGCGGCCCCGGCGGCACGGCGGCGCGGGCCGGGCGGGCGCTGCAACACCAACAACACTCTCTCATTTCCACATTAACAAAATTGAAGATTCCTAGATAATTTAGTGCTTTTATATAATTATTTTTAATAAGCCTAGTACATTTTTGTTTATAGAGATTTTTGTGATTGGTGGAATTTACATAGGAATCTGGTAGTAACGGGGTGGGTGCGCAGGAACCCCCGACGGTCGGCCGGACCCGAGCCACAATGTCTGCCTCTGCCGCATCTTCTGTTCGTCTGTTTCGCACGAGTGCGAGAGGATGCGGCCTGCTCTACCGCAGCGGCCTGCCTTAGGATTGAGGGAGGCCGCTGCGGTAGTGGGAGATGATGATCACCCGATCCCTTCCCACTCTCCATAAGCGGGCGCCGGGCGCCGGTTACCCGTTCGATGTGCAGCCCATAGTTCCAGCCAGCAGCGTGCGAGTCGGAGTCAGAGCGCCTGCGGGACTTCGGGTAGGCAGGCCCGCCCGACACCCGCGCTGGGCGCGCTGCCCACCCCTGGGCGCTGAGCGCGGCCGGCTCGCCTTCCCAGGGACTGGCTGTGGCTGCCTCCCGAATACAGGGTGGGTGATTCGCGACGTATTTTCTTGTCTGCTTATATGTTGTACCGGATTCTGCGTGCGGCTTAGCATACTCGCACGGGGCCGTGAGGCGCCATGGCGAGCGACGGTAGGCAAGCCCGCCCGCACGCGCCTGAATCCGGTACTCCAAAAGCATTGCGCCCTGCTGTATTTTTCTTGGTATCTCGTACGGGTGGCATCGTGCGAATGGCGGAGACAGACGTGCAGCAAGTCAGGCGCTGAAGGTGCCACTTTCTCCATCTCGTCTCCCTCACTTTGTAGACCTTCGTCAAGCGTGCGGCCTATGCAGGCGCTGCTTATGGCGGGTTAGCTCGACCTGCTCTGGCCCAGCCGGTGTGGTTTGTGGCGCCAGCGCGCGCCCCCCGCGCCCATCGCGGTTCATCACGACGGCCCCGGCCGCCCCGGCCATGCCGAGCCGACCCCCGTAACAATTAGAGCGACACGACGGCGGCCGATAGGCGATAGCCCCCGCCCCGCC